CAGTGCTTCATGTTTATGGGCAGTATCAACTGCAATCTTACCCTGCAGTCATTCAGTTCTGCAAAATTCTCATATCATCAGTTCTGCATCTGTCTCATATCTTCACCACCATGGTGTTGCAAACAAATTTTACCCTCTCCCACCGTTATGAGACAGTTTACAAGTTTGTTATGATGCAAAGGTCCCAGCATGGCTCCTTCTGGCCTTTCCCTTCAACGAAAATCATTCACTTACTCTCACATTTTTACCTTCTTTCTTATCTAGGCAAACACTTCTCCTTCTGGCCTGTGACAACTTAGTTTCTAAGTTTCTACACTCTTCTAAATCTGGGTCCATAGCTGATTGCTTTCCAAGCCTGGGACTTCTCTCAGCATCTCTTCAAATTGCATTTTCTCCTTTTAATGTGGGGCATCCTCACGAAGGGATCAAGGCACAGGCTCAGTGGGAACTGCAGTGGTGTCAGAATTACTTTTGCTACTTTGCGCTCAGTCCCTTTTCTAATAACAACTAAAACTCAATTTGCCTTCTTGACACTTTGAATATTCAATTGGTGTAACCAAAGCAAAGCAGAGCTCTGTCTGAGTGACAAGAGCTAATTTACAACCCATCTTTGTGTTTACATATAATTAAGTTATTTTTCCTCCATGCACTTTGCTTTGCAATTACTTACTCTGCCTTTCACTTGACATTTATCACTCTTGTAAGATATTTCTACAACTCCTCAGTTACCTGCACTTTTGGAAAAATATGACAAATAATTCTGAATCATCTGCATATTCATCACTTCATTATTCACCAACATTTTCTTATCATTTCTGAGTTTGTTGAACAACAAAAATCCTCTTTTACTCTTTGTGATAACTAACCTTTGTCTCCTATCTCAAAAGAAGTTATTTGTTTATTTCTTTCTGATTTTACCTCCACGCACTCATTCTTTTTTTCTGTTTTCTTTATTTGGCTTTGAAAGAAAAGGCTTTTTTCTTATAGTAGCTTCCTTTATATTTTGTTTAACTCTTCTGGATCTATGTGCATGCATGAGGACATCCTTTTTTTTTTTTTTTTTGTGGTAAATGTTTATTCTCAGTCCCTCATATTGTGCCTGTAAATACCACTGTGCTGTTTGCAAGCATTTCACCCATTTTACTGACCCTTTAAGTTCCATTTAGTTATAAGATCATACAATATCCTGAGTTGGAAGGGATCCACAAGGATCATCGAGTCCAATTTTGGGATCCACAGAGGACCACCCAAAATTCAAACCCTATGTCTGAGTGTTTTAGATGTTGAAATTCAGGCCTGACATTATGTATCTGATTAACTTCATTGCTTTTTTCATTTTACCATTTAGGCATGAATGCTGACCACAAAAATGTGTAGAAAGTTCATATTCTTTTTAAAACGTCCTCTGAAAGAGTTTGTGCACACCAAGTTAAACCCACGCTAATATATATCTGGTATAGGTATATTTATCTAAGAGATAGGGCTGAATGGCTCTCAACGCTTACTTTGAACCATTCGTTCCCAGAGTTAAGATGTAAGGTTTCCTCTGTTTATTTTTTGAACCCACAGTGTTATTCGGTAGATAGGCAAATAACAACCTGAACTGAGAGCTTTTGTGTGCTCATTCAGCTTGTGGGAGGCTGACGGTGCCATTGGCACGAGTAATGCAAGGGTTTTCTCACAGCGTATGCCTCAAAACAACTCAGAGAACTGTCAGAGACCCTGTTGTATCTCTTATCGTTACTGCATGCTTTTTTGTGTTTCCTCTTCTACAGGAGAAGGCTTCTACCTCTTTCTGTAGTTCTTCCCCGTACCTATGCAGCTCTGGCTCTGGTCCCATGAGGATGATGCCTTGGCAATGTGGGGAAATGTGAAGTGTGGTGGGACTCAGCCTTCAGAAGGAACATTCATCCAGACTGAGGTGAACACAAGGGTTACAGAGTTCCTCTGTTTCCAATTGCTCCTGACTCAGTGTCTGGCCACACTTTTCTTAGTGACAAGTATCTACCTCTGCAACAGAGGCAGATTTCTCTGTGGTGTGTCTTGCAAAGTAAGCTGTGCAAATGGAGAGCTGCAAAGCCTTTGGATGTACTCCAGGAGTTTACATTTATAAACATGTATTTAAATTTTTCCTAAGTCTCACCTGTTCTATTTTTCAGTCTGTATTTAACAGCATGCACACTTCCAAGTGTTATGGTCTCATGTGCTGTCATACTCCACAGTTTGGTTTAGATGTTTTTTTTCCAGAAGTATTTCTTAGTTTGTCTATGAGGCCTAGTTTTGCTGTTTGGTTCCAAAAGCAGGGCCCTCCCTAAAAGGGAAAGGGAAAACCCAGCTCCAGCTCATGCCCTGCAAGGATGACCCAAGCGCAGGAATCTCTGATCTGCAGCACCCTTGTAGAATAAAGAAAACAGTCTGACAATAAAGGAGGAGAGCGTTGCTCATTCCTGCAGTTCTCATAAACATTCTCTTAAAACTCAGCATGGCAGTGAACGGCATGAGATGAGCTTTGCCTAGATGGTGCAGATGTACTGTTTCCTCTCACGGGTCCTCCTCCTTACTGGGCATCCCTTGCAGAGCTTGAAGGAGCAGAATTGATGAAGACTCCCACAAAATCCAGAAATACAAACTGGAGACGTTCATTGTTTCTCTGTGCCTGAGCCCTTAGCTCCATTGCAACCCCCAGGATACCAGAGAGTGGTGGTGAGAGAGGCCAGGAGACTGGAAGGAGGCGAAGAGCCCTTCCAGTCCCTTTGGTGCTCAATGCAGAGTGACACAAAGGTCTGGGTGGATACTGGCCTCTGGGAAAGAAACACATTTGTGGAGAAACCCCTGATAGTGTCCAAGGCTTTGCTATATAAACATATCAGAGATCTTAAAGTGATCCGCTGGCAGAAAGCGAGGGGCTCATTTCTTTGGAAATGTTTGCTTTAAGATGCCAATCATGTGCTCTTTCCGTAGCAAGAACTCAGCGATATATTTGTCATTGTGCATGTGGTAGGATTGGGCCCAAGAGCTGACAGCTGGCAGATAAGGGCTTAACTAATGTTCTGTAAGAGGCAGGGACAGATGTTATCATGGTTGCCTGATTCATGGGCAGGGCCAATAATCAGCTGCAAGCTGCTGCTGTAGCATGGAGGCTGCACAGCTCCCGTGCGAGGCACAACGTTTCAGCCAGGCTTCTGAAGGAAGCTGGTGGAAAACTGATCTGGGCTTCCCCAGGACAGGCATCACCTCTGACCTTTGGGAGTGCTGTCAGCATTCCATATAAGGAGAAAAATGGATTTTTGAATTTTAGGTCTGGTGTTTTCCCTCACTGGTGAAAGTAAAAGGTGAGGGCTGGCATGCAGTCCTCCTCCACCTCCAGCTTGGTATCTTGTGCAGTGAAGGATGCACACAGTGTCTGATATCTGAATCATGGCTTTCAATGAGAGAACATAAAAAAAGTCTTTAAGAAGTTCTACAGCAGGATTTGAGACTCTCACTATAAGAAAGAAATTGAGGCCTGGAGAATGTCCAGAGAATGGCAAAGAAGCTGTGAGGGATCTGAAGCACAAGTCATATGGGGAGCAGCTGAGGGAACTAGGATTGTTCAGTCTGGAGAAGAGGAGGCTCAAGGGTGACCTTATCACCCTCCACAACCACCTGAAAGGATGTTGTGATGAGATGGGGTCGACCTGTTCTCCCAGGCAACAGCAATGGGATGAGAGGAAATGGCCTCAAGTTGCACCAGAGGAGGTTCAGGTTGGATATTAGTGAATATTTCTTAGAAAGGGTGGTGAGGCAGTGACACAGGCTGCCCAGCGAGGTGGTGGAGTCACTGTTCCTGGAGGTGTTCAAGAACCTTGTGGATGAGGGACGTGGTTTGGAGTGGTCACAGGCATGGGTTGATGACTGGACTGTATGATCATGGTGGTCTTTCCAACGTTAATGATACTATGATTCTATGAAAATTAATTCTTGTGTTTTGTTTTTTCTTCTTTGTAGACCAAGATCTTTCCTATAGGGTTCAAAATACATCTAAACAATAAATTACCTTCAAAACTGTCTTAGAAGTTCAAAGTTTATCAAGGAAAGAGGAAGAAAATAAACTCATCTATAATAATTAAAGACATAAAGACATAATTTTGTCAAGGAAAAAATAAAACAACTTTGAATTTCACTTCTGATTATGAGCAAGAGGAGTTCCCTGGTGGCTGGGAAGTCATAAGCCCTTGAAATTGATAGCATGCGTATATTCTATGTAGGTTCACTTAGCTGGAACTAGTAAAGAAAAATACAATTAAAATATTCATGCATTAAATTCAGTTATTTAAAGAAGCCAGATTTCCATGGGGCAGACACCCTTGCATAGGATGACTACTCCGCAGTATCAGCTGGGAGGTAGGGGACCAGCCCCTGGACAAGCACCATCCCCAATGGGTCAGGCTGACATCACACAAAAACTCTCCTTTTCTTATCCAAATGTCCCATGGCTTGAAGGTGTCACAGCTCCAGCTGCCTTGCCACATAAACTGAAGAGTAAATGTAACTCAGACTGAACTTAAGGACAAGGAATATTTGTTTTTGGCAGAAAGAATGCACTTGGAAAGGAAATATATGTATATGTTTTTCAGTAGAAGCAACCATTTGAAGCTGCTTAGTGCTCTGAAACATTCACGTGGCTATGATGTCAGCTAGGAATGCCAGAGGCATGCAGTAATGTCCAATTAATAGATTAGGGGATCACGTAATAGATATGTGATCTAGGGGTATATAATAAACACGCAATGAAAAGTTCACACAAGCTTAGAAATTTATCTCAGGGATATCAAACTATACATGGTAACATTTCCTAATTAAACAACAACAAAAAAAGCAGCCTCTGGGTGAAGCTTTGCAGAGAACAATGTTATCAGATCTCTCCAGGTAAACACGAGGACCATATAAAACAGGCTGCTTGAAGCAAAGCAGCACCTCTTCTCTACCTCCCTTTCCAGCCATTGGCCTGAGGGCTCCCAGAGCAATGGATGTAAAGGGGATCTGCTTGCTCTTTGTCATCCTCGCTGTAGCCCTCATCAGCTCAACAGAAGGAAAACCACCATGTAAGTACATTTACTTCCTGTTGCTTTTGCAGGTATGTACATCAGCCTGATTACAGTGATTCTAATAACAGCAAGAGCATGCCTCCAGATCACATACCAGACTGTGACTGTATTGCTCTGGCGCTATTCCCAAATCTGGAGTCTAATTTTTGTTTTCAGAGAAAGCTACAGCAAAACAACAACAAAAATTGCAGGTCAACTACTGGTGAAATAACCAGAAACCTGCCCCAAAGATGGAAGAACAAAATGCCCAGGAGTTCACTAGAACAGGATTGGGACTGGAGTAGTAGTTAGGTTTGTCTAAAGAGTCTCCTGACATCCATTTCACATTACTTTTCTGCAGGAATGTGTTTTCAGATAAGTCTGTCTGCCTCATCAGTAGAAGACAAGTCATTTAAGTAACTCAGGAAGTGGAAAGCAAGTAGCTCAATGGCACATGAAAAGGGACATCTCCAGAATTTCTTGGTTGTAGTTGACTATGTAATAGATATTAGTAACAAAATATTAAAAGTCACCACTCAGAGGGTGGTGACACACTGGAACAGGTTGCCCAAGGAGGTTGTGGATGCCCCATCTCTGGAGGCATTCAAGGCCAGGGCCGGATGTGGCTCTGGGCAGCCTGGTCTGGTGGTTGACAACCCTGCCCAAGGTGGGGGGGGGAGGGGTGAAACTAGGTGATTGTTAGGGTCCTTTTCAACCCAGGCCATTCCATCTATGGTTCTATGAAAAGTGCAGCTACAATTATTTGTATGCAACTATGTTCTTATAGTGACCTAAAAGATAACACTAAGGTTTTTTATCTTTATACTTACTGAAGATCCACAGGATCCTTAACTCATTATTTCCTCAAATGAGATGAGCAAATTAACAAATATTTACCAATCAGCCAAATCAACCAATATTTACCAGCAAATATTAGCTCAATACCTGAAGTTATGATTTTTGGCGTTTGATGGGATCTGTTTGAATTTCACTGTCCCACTGTGCTGTGCTGGGCTGGATGCATGTGGGACCACGCCACGCTGGATGAAGTACAGTTCTTACTGAAGTTGATAGGGGAGTTTCACCTCAGCCATTAGGGAGGGGCCCAGCATTTCACTTGCCTTCTATTTGCCATGAACAGATCTTAAAACAAACATTTTAAGTTTTGACCTTAACAAGCAAAAGAAAACATACATTTACAAGATGGACAGAGTCCAGGGAAAGCTTATCGTTTCAAGAGAACACTTGATAAATGCACCTCTGCTAAAAAGCAAACTAACACCCAGTAACTTTGGATTTCTGTGCTCAACAGCAAAATGCCAGTGCAAAATGGCTGCCAGAGAGCGGAAGAACTGCGGTCCCCCAGGAATCTCAGCAGCAGCCTGCAGGAAAGCTGGGTGCTGCTTCAATGCGTCAGTGCCTGGCGTCCCCTGGTGCTTCACTGCTAAACCAAAGAAAGGTAACACATCCACCAGAAACACTAACTTACCTAGTGTTTGCTTATACAGAAACATGTACAGTCAGGGAGCAGCTCGTTCTTACTTTTGAGCCAAAGAAGTGTGTGCAAACCTCTCTCAGAAGACCTTTGGTGGAAAAATGCGAAGTTAAATATTGATTGCCTTGGAATAGGCTTGGAACGCATCCTCTTTGCACAAGATATTTCTTTTTCCTTCAGGCTCCTAGTTATCAGATAGCCCAAGCTGGCTGTTTAAAAACATTTCACTGCCAATTGTGGTCTTGTCTGTCAGTGGAGCATATGATGCTTGGCACTTACCTAAAATTCTATGTGACTGACAAGAACATTAACGCTGCTTTAGCAACATGTGTTAAAGAGATCAGAAAGTCCTCAGCAGATGAATCCATCTGCATTCATTTAAAAACATGGACATGTTGTAACTTACAGGTTTTTCTTCTTTTCTTTTTTTAAGATTATTTTCATGCTTACCACTTTCTTCATTTTCTGCGTGATTCCCAGTATAATTCCAATGTGTAGTTCTTTTTTTCTTTCCTGCTTTTTCTTTCAGTGTTCATTTAATGAAATCTCCAAATTATGTCACGGCAGATCATTTTCTCCATTAAATTCTTCCTTCTGCAGACCCATTGGAAAATCTGAACTCCTTCCATCTTTTACCCTTATGCTGCCATATAGGGTCAGAGGTACTCACCCAAATCCTTCAGTAGCTGAATGCATTTCATGTTACTGTTGAATGTGCTGTGCCAACTGCATGACTCCTTCTCAGGAGAACTTCAGTGCAATTTTACCCGTTGTACCACCAGCTCTGGACACATAAAGTAAGAGGAAGTGAGGGTATAATGGCAATGTTAACAAAGAATTCACTTGGTGTGAATCAAGATTGTTCAACAGGGCTTAGAACTGCTGAAATTTAATTTTGACATTGAACACTGCTTGCTTTTCTTGTAAATCTTGAAAAAGAAATGGCTGTATCTCACAGTGTCATTTTCATGGAGTTGCTTCTCCGAGGAGTAATCTTCCAGGATAGGAATATCTAATTATTCCACCTGGATGGTGAAAGTATTTTAAGAAGGTTTTAATGTTGTGGAAGGCGGCTTAATGTAGATTCCCCACAACTACACTTCCTATCTGTTGGTTGCATTCCCACAAAAGTTCCTTCCTTGCATGTAATTTTAATTTGCTGGATGAGCTGTGATTCCTCACAAGTGACTTAGCTTTCCTCCACAACTGAAGTTGGCATGGAGGTGAATGGATCTTCCTCTCCCCACATCAGCAGGGCTACTGAAGTGTTGGTCTCTTGCATTGAGCCAGACACAAGGCTGCTGTCTATGGTGTCATCATGGAAGACAAAGAATCATTGAATATTCTCAGTTGAAGGGAAACCAGAAAGATCACTGAGTCCAACTCCTGGCTCCACACAGGACCACTCGAATTCAAATCCTGTGTCTAAGAGTGTTGTCCAAACACTTCTTGAACTCTGGCAGTTGGGGCTGTGACCATTCTGCAGTCGGCTCTCTGCTCCACTGCTGGATCTGCAAAAGGCAAAACCAGATTGCTGCCTGCCAGGCACTTCTAGGGATGAACTTTGGCCCATCTAGCCCCTAGGGTGCAGCAGAAGTTCCTCATCTTTTGGTATGTAGCTTTGCATAGTAGGCATAGTAAGCGTTTGAGTGATCTTCCTGTCTGAAATCAGTGTGGAAAAGGTCACCACAGCTGTTGTGCTTGCTCATGCACCCCATCTACCTTTTGTTTGTGAATTTTTCCACCAGATACGTTGGGCATAATGTAACACAGCCTCTATCTTTCCTTCCTTTTTGCTTTACACAGTTAAGAAAGTGTGTCCTGCTGATCCTCATATCCGAGTGAACTGTGGCTACCCTGGCATCACAGCTAAGGAGTGCTTAAGCAGGAAATGCTGCTTCCGGCCACGTCCTGCTGGTGTCCCCTGGTGCTTCTACCACCGCACGGTTGAAGAAGGTAACATCCAAATGAGATATCTCCCCTGTGTCCCCACGGCCACCCCGAAGTTCCAGAACAGGACAGGATCTTCTCTGATTCTCAGATCTCAGTGGGTTCAGAGCCTCCTCACCTGAAGGCGTGAGTGGATGATAAACCCCTAAAAGACCAGCTTCTTGCATGGAGGGGTGGTGTTGATGTGTCCCAGGGCCAGGGACCTGAGGGCAATTGGGACTCAGGTATGAGTGCAAGCCTTTGGCTAGCATGATGATAGAGGTCTGGCTGTCAAGTCCACATCTGCTTTATCACAAGAGGCAAAGGCTTCTTTTTAGAGACACGGAGTGAACCTGACAAAAATTTCTGATCCCCTCCTCCTGTATTACAGTACAACTGGTGCAGCCCTGGCTGTTTCCAAGCCACCCCATAGTCTATTTTGCCCCTGGGACTCTCATTTGATTTAATGATCTGAATCATATCTAGGAAACACATGTAAAGACAGGTAGGAAACTAGTTGCTAAAGTCTGCTTGTTGGATGCACACACTCTTTTTAATGTACTGCATCTAGGCAAATACTTCCTTGCACTGTGTCAAATTTGAGGAAAAAACATATCTCTTAACATGCTTCTTGTCTTTTCCTCTCCAGGTTGTTAAAGTAGAAACTTGCTGAAGAACCTGCTCAACTGGGAAATAACAGCCAGATATCCCAGCTCCAACTTTCTGTTTGTAACAACAATTTCTAGGTGATTATTTCTTCATTCTGAAGAAAATATAACCACAACTTCTATTCTCTCAGTAGGGTAGTACGTACAGTTTTTCAACGTAATAAAAGAACCAAGACACAATCCATGAGTCCTCTGCTATCTTTATTTCAAAGCTGCATATTTCTGCTTCCCATGAAATCAGACATCTCAGCAATGTTCGCTGCTTACATTTCACAGCTGTATGTATGTGCTACCTGACAGGTGGCTGCATATGGACCCCTCTCTTTTCAGCACTGAAAATACTCAGTGCTCCCCTTCACATCACTACAACAGTAGGGCTGGTTTGCTTTTTCCCCTCAGGACATAAGTGAAGTTCCATTTACTTGGGTGCTCCACAGAAAAGAAGCATAGTATCATTAAGGTTGGAAAAGACCACTAAGTTGACTTAGTCCAACCACCAACCCATCCCCACCATGCTCACTAACCATGTCCCTCTGTGCTGCAAGAAGAGAAAACCTCCTTGGAGATTCCACTATGATGATGATGTCATCCAAGTGTGTAAAAATGAGTTATTCATAAAACTCCATTATCTCACACTTAAAGTGGGCTTAATATTGGGATTTGAACGTGGTTGCAATATGAGCACATAAACTTGGAGAAGTCTTCTGAAGACCTTGGAAGTTCTTTGCTAAGGAAGATTTGGTGTTGTAGCCCAGAGGAATTTGGAAGGCCTAAGTACAGGATTTTATGTACTGCTACAACACACAGGTCCTGCTGGCCTCCCCCATTCCAACTTCCAGGAGGTGAGTTTGGTAGAGATATGAGGTACGGATGGGATTGATCAGTAATGGGACTTACTATGTGGGGAGTTTACAATATGTGAGTGGCTGAGGCTTGTAAATGGTTTTCAACATCGCCCAAATATACTTGTAGAAAAAGTGTGAAGAATGTCTAAACCAGTAAGAGAACCAGCTGAACAAGTTCTGAATATTTTTCTGGGGAAACAAAAGAAGGCCAGCTACACAACTGTCATCAGCAGATGTGCTACCATAATAGGAATCAGTTCTGTGACACAAAATCTTTGTGCTGATGAGGCTGTTCTGCAAACAGCGAATGATGTTGAAAATCACCAGTGCCTGGTGGTCCTCAGTAGGCTGTTATCAGGACAGCAGATTGCAAACAATGCTTTGGCTTCTCAAAGACTGAGAAGAAAATGTTTGGCAATGTATATCAATTTCATGTGTGGCTCTTCAGTGAGGAGCAATCTGGCAAAAAGATGTGACTGAAAACACCTCTGCAGATACACTTTTTAACATGTCTACTTACTCTCTCCCATTCCCAAATACCACTAGAAAGGCCATGCTTCCTGTTCAAGCTCTGGCAAAGCTCCCATTTGGAGGGAAGATTTCAGGCAAGGTGCTGAACCAAATTGAAAAAGAGCACAAAAGCCGAAATTTTCCTGTAGTAAACAGCTAAACCACAGAGTTGTGTCGCAAATATCCATGAGCTACTGGCCCATAGTTTCAGTTCTGGATTTTATTAATAGGAGAGACTTATCCCATGTGTTCAAGTACATTTCAAGATTCTTGGTCACAAAGAAGAACATGAGAGCTCAAAATGATGCTCTCAAACAGCAGAAGCTAGAACATACAAGCTACTTCTGTTTCCCTGATATAGCATGTGTGGTCCCTGCCCCAATTCACCCCAGGCACACCATGGCAGGAGGAGAATGACGTGTGCTCAGTGGTAGAAGACGAATTGGAAAACAGATAGACTTTGCTTTACAATACTTCTGTTGCAATGCACGATGTTTGGCCCACTTACATCAGCACTCACATACATGGGAGTGGACTGGCGTGGTTTGAAGCAGCTATCATCGGTCTGGTGATTTGAGTCTACTGCATTTTGAAAAGCTGAATCTGGGAAGTAAAACCTGATCCATGTGCTCCTTCTTGCTCAAAATGGGATTTCCCCACTTCCTGCCCTTTCTCAGGCTTGGCACTAGACCTTGTCCAAGGGGGCACTTTCATGGCAGCATGCAGCTTTCAACAAACAGAAGCAGAAAAATCCTGAACTTCATTTAACTTTTGCTTCTTTTATAACGATTTTGAAGCAACTTCCTCATTGTACCTCAGGAGAAAGCAAAAAAAAAAGCACGGATAAGACTTCAGGTAAAGCTACAAAATATGTTTAACATCCGACTGTAAGGATTTGGGGGGTGAGCGAGGAGGGCTCAGGAGAAGGGGTCACAATTTGATGTTTCTCTTTCATGTTTTCTTAATATTTTCCATCTGTAGGAGAGATCAAGGACAGGCACAGAACTGCAGTGCCAAGCAGCTAGCAATGCAATTGCACAACATTGCATTAAAAGTTCTCAGATGTTCTTGAAAAAATCTGCAAGGCAACAAAAAAAAGGGAGAGGAGGGCAGGAAAAAACGAGGCTATGAAATAAAAAAGAAAGATGCAATTAGTACTAATGTCACTAATGCTGCCCTTGACAGTATTTTCTGACATAAGTGGAGCTTGCAATATACATTTCCCAACCAAGACCTTTATTATGGTTCTCCTCAGATCAGATTTCGGTGCTGAAAACTGACAGCGCGACAACTGCTCACTGTCAACCTGGACACTTACATCTTTCCAGGCTAAAAAAGGGGTCATTCTTACTGTAGCAGCTTTCCTACCTTCCAAACTGCACTATGAAGGAGATTTTAAATTGATAGCTACAAGAAAATACAGCATAAACTGTTGTTTTCAAATGCTCTTTGTTTTATGAATCCATTTGCAGCATAGAATGGAAGGTAATTGTGTGTGAGGTACATTAATTTTTGCACAGTTGCTAATGAGAAGCTTATGGTTGGCTTATTTCATAGCATTAATTATAATATAAGACACTAACAGTAATTTAAGTTGCCCCTCCAGCTACAAAGGAGTCCTGTTCTTCTTTTCTGGTCTATGGAAATTTGGCATGCGGAGGCATCTAATTTTGGAGGCTGTAAATCCTTCAGTCCAGCATTTCCTGCACACCATAAAATATGACCTCTATTATCATTAGAAAACGGTCTTGCCTTTAGTATGAAAAATGCAATCCTATTGCATCCTATGGGCTATTTGTCCTTTAAAGCATCACGGCTCACGCTGTCTAGGACTGGACACTTGACCAGCTTGTGAAAGCTGTGGCTGCTGTCCTTGAACTGTGGTGACAAATAAGCTAACCCTGAGGCTGTGGCAGGCAGGATTGGTGGCACAAGGACAACTTAGCATGAGAAGTCACCCTGCCAACAAAGTGTTTGGTAAAGTAAGACACACCTATACTACAACCCATCTTCTGACACTGCTGTTCTTGGGGTTTGAAACAGGTCTAGTTTCCCGTCCAAGAGTTTTTCTCTCAGCACAACAGGAAGCAGCACTCCCAGTGCCTCATGGTTTCTACGCTGGGACACTGTTTAGAGTGGTAGAGATGGGAAGCATGTCATTTCTTGGCCAAGGCAGATCTACAGAAGAAACTTGAGCAGAAAAATATTGGTTTTCTAAATGAGCTGAAGAGACCTTTCATGATGTACAACTTGACAGAAATGCACAGGAGGCTGCAGAAGAACACTGCATGGGTATTGTGGCAGAACAAGGGAGAGCTGTACTTTGTAAAACAGGGAATAGATAGGTGTGACCAGCAGAATAAAACATTTCTCTTGGAACAAGGGAGGAGGGAATCTATACATTCCAGAGTACTGAGCAGAAAGAAGAAAGGGAATCACAGAATCATTAAGGTTGGATTAAACCCCTGAGACCATCTAGTCCAACCATGAGCCCATCTCTCCATGTGCCTCAGTGCCACATCTACACACAATCGTTCACTGCCTCCTGTAATGCAAGAACACGCGGAACCTGTGCTGAAAAAGGTAGCATGATGAATATGAACAAGTGACTCAAATAGGAATTAGACAAGTCCATGGAACTTAAATCCATCAAAGGCAAGAAAATACAAAGAAACTCCCAGAGAATCAGATAGTTCTTGACTTGTCAAGCAAGCACACCTTGATGTTTTGCCCTGTTTTTACACTCTTCCCTGCTTACTGCTGGGAGCCACTGTCAGATCCTTGGCAGCACAGATCTTTGCCCTAAGCCAAACATGACTGCATTTCTGTTTTGAAGAATTTTTACTATTTGTATCCATAACCTAACTGCTCTGGGAGTTACATGAAGCTACCACAATGTACATCCAAACCAGGCAGTTTGCTGCTCTTGCTGACTGCCAGAACCTCATGCAATCAGTGAGAATGTACCTCAACCAACACAGCTGCCACGTGTGCCCCTTTGAGAGAGAACAGGGACAAAAGCAACTGTCTGAAAATAATAACACTTTATTTGTTTTTTTTTTTTTTTTTTTTTTTTTTTTTTTTGTTACATTATCATAAATGCTCTCTATTCTCAGAAAACAAAGCCCTAGTTTGGAAAATAATGCACATACAAATCTCTTACGGGTATTAAGTATACAGAAATATACAAAGATTTCTCTATTGTTGTAATATATCATCAGAATGTCCCACATCCCACATTTTTACTCAGGTTCACCGTACCAGTAAGCGTAAACTACAAAGGTAACAAGCAACCTGAAAAAAGACATGGTTGATATAATTACATATATGTATATATATATATCTACAACAGTGCAAATATATCACAGCGTGCAGGCAGCAGTAGTCTCTAGAGAAGCATAATAAAACTGATTCATAGTAATGCAAATGCATTACAGAAACAAGAGACAACAATGACATTCGATATACAGAATATGCACACTTCAGCACGCTGATTTAAAACGATGCTTGCATTGACTCTTGCTTTAAAAACAAAAGAACAAATATTAAATAATTCAATTATAGATTCAAGGGCAGTATCTCACAATAAGGTCAACTGACTCAGATTAAGTAATTAACAAATCTGTACCACTACAGGTAAGAGTTTGGCTACACTGCAGGACTTGTTTTCTTGATAGATATATCACATGTTCTATTTCCTTAAATTTCATT